AAGATCTATAAAATCTTATATCAACAGGGTGAGAGTGTGGAAACAGCTGTGAAGGGCTTTTTTTTTTTCCTATTTCTAAATATGTAGAACTCTGTTTTCACTGCCTAGAGTTATTACTGTCACCGGTTCAAAACAAAGCATGACCCACAAACATTTTCCCTTAGCAATTTTGAAGTTGTGCCAATACTCTAGAGATAGTTCTTCCAGTAGCAATGCACATCAGCAGCCTTGTTAATGGTAGTAAACTTTCACTTCCTCAGAATAGTTAAGGACTGAGACTTGGTAAACAAAGTTTTGGTTAACTCAATAATAACAAAATTTCAAGGAATTCTAATGTTCTTCAACAAACATGTTTCAGTACCTACAATATAAAATTAAATAATGGTAAACTCTGTGTAAAGCCTTTTTGAAAAAAATTGATACAGGCAAAGCAATTCTGAATCTTGAAGCCCTACAGTTCATCATGGTAAACAGTTTTTATATAGTACTCCTACAAATGTAGCCTGATCTGAATATATACCAAACTTAGGACACACTAAGATTTACTTTTTAAAAATGCCTTATGTCATGACTGTTAAAAGTATATTATTATGTAAAACAAACCAAACATCTAGTTATCTCCTTTTCCTGGTTGCTCTTATTCCAAATAACTTTGAGTTTGGGGTTCTATGTATAGAACCATACAACTACTATTCATTCTGTAACACTCCAGTGAGGAAAATATATAGCATTCATATGAGCCTACCTCATATTTATTGATTTAAATTTTATTTTTCTTTTCTGAGCCAGCCCCATTAGCACCAAGAAAAGTTCTCTAGGTTAGTTCCACTGGCCACTGATCACTTGGGATCAGTAGTTCCAAATACAGTAGTCCCTCCTTATTTACTGGGGATATGTTCCAAGATCCCCAGCGAATGCCCAAAACCGCAGCTAGAACCGAACCTTATACAGTATATACCTATGATAATGTTTAACAAAAATTAGGCACTGTGAGAGACTAAATAATAAAACAATTATAACAACATACTATAATTAAAGTTACATGAATGTGGTCTTGCTCTGTTAAAATATCTTATCATACTGTAGTCACCTATTTTTGGACCACAGTTGAACACAGGTAACTGAAATTCCGGATAAGGAGGGACTACTGTACAAAGCTTTCTACATGGTGAAAATAAAAACTAACCTGATAAAGACAGCTCTTACAGTCTCTATATTTTAGTTACTGTCTAGCTGAGCCTCCAGAGCAGATGTGGAAATGAGATTAAAATTCCATTTCTTTAAAGAGCAATAAATGAAGTAGCAGACTAGCATACAATGGCACACTATACAAGGAAAATCACAGCCCAAGCTGACTTTCAAATATTTCTACCTGCAAGAATAAGCAGCACTCAAATCATTCTTCATTTGACCTACTTAGTGTTAACCCAAGATACCACACATTGCAAAACACCCTTCAATACACCCTTCTTGAGGTGACACCAATAATCTTTCCATTGTTTAACTCTGTTTCCTCTCCCCAATCACACAAATTCTCACTTTTTGCTTCAGTCCAAGTCCTACTCTTCCTTGAAAACTCAGCTTAAAATCCATTTACCTATTACTCCAGCTATTATAGTATTTATTGACTGCACCACCCATTTAATCTGAAGCCTCAATTAACTTATGCTGTTAGTAATGGAGTTAGCACAACAATCATTTATAAATACATCCCATATGCAAAGCACCACACTGGATGCTGACTGTATTTTAGATTAACTCATCTCATTTCCTTTATTTTGGCTAAGAATCAAGTAGTATTATTATTAGGTCAGAAAAATATGGATATTTTATCTGGATAAATAATATGATTGATTATTTTCTTTGAAAAACCTTTAACAGTTTCACAGGGAATTTTATATTATTTATATAATATTTAAGTTTAAAAGAACTAACCAATCATAGGAGTACTCTGAAAATCTTTTGGAAAATAAATATTAAAATTTAGTGATTTCTGATATTATGCTCAGTCTCATCATCTCTGCTATGAAGAAAAGAAAAAAAAGTAAAAATCAGAAAAATCTGACATTTCATTAAGACCTTTTCTTGCAAATGAAATGTTCCTTTAAATTAGAATGGGAATGTGAAAATCAGCTTTTCTGGATTCAAGTACAAGTGGTGAAAAACTGAAATCAAAACAATAATACTGTCATCCCTTAGTATCAGCAGGGGTTTGGTTCCAGGACACCCTCCCCAATACCAAAATCAGGCAGATGCTCAAGTCCCTTACATAATATGGGTGGTATTTGCATATAACCTACTATATCCTCCTGTATAGTTTAAACATCTCTAGATTACTTATAACTAATACAATGTAAATGATATGTAAATAGTTGTTATACTATTTTGTTTATTATTTGTATTATTTTTTTATTGGGTTTTCTTTGGCATATTTTCAATCCAGTCTGCAGCTGGTTCAATCTACAGGTACAGAACCCCAGATAGGGAGGGCTGACTGGATTTCCTGACATGTGAAATATATTAATATATGAAATTTGAATTTCACTCTCCATACAGTTTTATTGGAGCACAGTGATATTTGTTTGTTTATGTATTATCTGTTGTTGCCTTCATACTACAATAGCAGAGTAGTTGCAACAGAGGTTGTATGGCCAAAAAGCCTAAATTATTTACTATCTGGCTTTATCAAATTCAAATCAGGTAATTTTATTATTTCCTATAGATAGTTTGAACATACTGAAAAATCATTAAATATCTAAATATCCCAATTAAGATAATAATGAGGCACCTTTTTGTCTATAATTAAGATATTTGTGAGGGACCATAAGGGTGTAACAAGATTGGCACTTTCCTACATTGCTGGTATGAATATAAGAACTGGTTCATCTGTTCTGCAAAGCAGTTAAAACACATTGCATCAGGAGCCTCAAAAATCACTTTTAGTGCTGTATAGAACTTGACTATAAGAACATATCACAATTGATTAAGCCTTTTCCTTATTGATAGCTATATATATGTGTACTGTTCTCAAATTTTTACTATTAGAAACAATGGTATACATTTAACATTTTAATTAATGTTGTATTTAATATTTTTACGGATGCTGTATTTAACATTTTTATGTATTATGTAATATTTAGTATCAGCAACTGATGCTAAATCTACAGGAGTCAAATTTTATGAGGAATAGAATATTTTATAAAATCTCAAAGAGTTCCTAGGATTTAAATCTAGAGATGATTAGGTCATCATCTGATGACCTAATCTGATGAATCCAGATGGCCTCACAGCTCCAACCTTACTAGATACTGCGAAAATGTTATCTAAGCAATTTATTCTCCTACAGCAACACTTTTTAGGCATATTAACTGTTGCCAATATGGTAGGAATGAATGGCATCTTATTGTTATTTTCATCTGTATCTCACTAATTATTACTAGTAAGGTTCATTATCTTTCCTTATTTATCAACCATTCCTGTTTTCTCTTTTAAGAAATAACTGACCATGTCCTTTGCCCATTTTTCTGTTATAACACTTGTCATAGTTTGTTTTTGCTCTATTTCGTTTAGTAATTTGAAGGTGAATTCTCATTCTTTGAAGAACAAACTCCTCCATAACCACCACCTTTCCTCCAAGGTTATTTCTACCTTCTTCCCTCAACTAGAGCTAGCATTCCCTTGATACTACTTTTCTCACAACCCTCTCAATGAAAATTGAAAAATGGAAATTCTTTTTATCAATACCGTTGTCACAATTATCTCAAAGCTGTAATGATGTCCTTCCCTTCTAACAAATCCACATATCCCACAAAATAATTCCAAATTCCACAGGTGGGCTTTCAAAGCTTTCCATAATGTTACCCAACCAACATTTTCAGCCTACTACTATTCTCCTATATATACTCTATGCGTCAAGTAAACTGGACTGTTTGCCACCCATATCAAACATCCCCTGGGACTTTCTAATTCTGTCTTCATCCATGCTCTTCCTTATACCCATCTGTTTATCAAAAATTTATCCTTCAAGGAAAGCTGTTTCTTATAATACCAACAAAAAATATAGAAAACAATTAAGAAAAAAATCACCATTTTGCAACCCTAAGAATAAAACTGGTTCAAGTAAGAATCAACTGATGATGAATCCAGATGGCCACATTTTGAGAAATATTTTACATCATTTCAAAGTATCTCCCCCCAAATTACTAATGAATTATAAGAATAGGTTAAAGAAATAAACACCCTAACCAAGTAATCAAAATCAATATAACAAATAAGGGACAAATGCCATGTACCTCCAGATGTAACATCCAAGAAATGTATCATTTCTTGTATCATTTATGCAGTATATTCTAGTCTAGTAAAAAAAAGGCATGACCAAGAAGAAACATTAAAGAAACCCAAATTGAAAATATTCTATAAAATAACTAACCTATATTATTAAAAAATGTTAATGCTGTGAAAGGCAAAGAAAGACATAGGACCTTTTCCAGATTAAAAGAGACTAAACACAACATATAATCCTCGACTGAATCCCAAACTAGAGAAAAATTCTATAAAGGCTGATATTGAAACAACTGATAAAATGTGACTATGGACTATAGATCTAGAATATGTTTAGTAAATATTTACTGGATTAAGGGAGCTTTCATTCCAAGAATCCACACGGCCCCCCACACCACATCTAAGGAAATGCCCTGGTACATATACCTGAGAAGAGAAACTGACAGGACTAAATGATTATGTGTCCGTAGCACTAAAGATAAAAATGAACAAATTAAAATGCTGGAAAGGTAAAGAGAAACCATAACCACTCACCTTACTTCATGGACAAAGACATGGATTTGGGTCCTTGTGAGATTTCTCAATAAAAGCTTCAAGTTTCTAATATTGAACATAAAACTGTTTAAATTCCAAAGGAAATAACTAGAAAAGAGTTGCCTATAAAAAATATAAATTCTTAATTTTTACACAAAATATCTAAAAACACACATTATACTGTCTTTTGAGTTTAATGACACTAATAGCTTTATTTAACAAACATTGAGTGACTACTATGTGCAAAGCACTATGCTAGGTGCCATGAAAGATACAAAGATGAAAAAGACATAGTCCCTGCCCACAAGGAGCGTATAATCTAGTGAAGAGACAGACAAATACACAGATAACTAGAATACAAGGCAGTAAACAAGAGTGGGTAAGTGCTGAGTGTGGCCTGAGTGTGATACTAGCTAGCCTCAAGGTTCCAATTTGCAACACTTGTGAAACAGTGTTGACTGCTTTGAAAATCTCAAGATCCACATAATGGATGTTTCATTGGTCCTACCCAAGCAGCTGGAGACAGTAGAGTAGGCCCGATGGAACGGTTGTTTGAAAGCACTGTTGCATCTACATACGTGGTGCTGATATAAGTATGCAGGTACAGCTAAAAAAGAACGAATATATATATATATATATACATACACACACACACACATACATATATATATATATATATATATCATCTGTCCTTTGGTTAATGGCTATAGCTAATGTTTTAAACAATATACTTTTATATAAAAAGGAATTTGTATAATCCCAGAAAAATCAATTTAAAGATTAATATTAATTCAAGAAAGAATCCTGCCATAGGCAATTTTATTTACTAATTGATTCTTTTCTCTAAATATCTATAAAGCTCTGTAGCAATTAAACAGTTAGACATCTAAGTATTGCTGAGTAAAATCTCTTATGTTCAGCCTTCTGAAGGAAATGGTCACATACCTGATATAACACTATTCTAATAGCAACAAGAAGGCCTTAAAGAGATTTAAGGAAAATAATTTTTAATACTTCAATGCAAATGGAATACACGCTGATTAAATACAAGTCAATGTTCTTTGAAAATATCTCAATGACAGCGTTTGATACCAGTTAAGGCCAGCAGAATTGAAGTGAGGAAAATGTTACATGTATTGTCTTTCATTGGTTTCATGTATGCCTATTACTATGGCAATGCAATCTTTTCTTTGAAAATTCCACTTATTAGTATTGATGAGCTTTGATTTATAAGCTTTGATTTGCTTTTAGCCCTTAGGCTAATAACAGCTGCTGACCACTTCCTCTTGGTAGTGTTGTCTGAAATAACTGGCAAAGTAGAAACACATCTCCTGGCTGCTTTTCCTACTTCCTGAATTGGAGGGTTCAGGGCTTAGCCTGTTTCCTTCAGTGTGTCACTGTGGTCCTGGGTCCTCTGCTGCTTTCTCTCAAGGAAACGAGCCCGTGCATCGGATATGGATTTGTCATCATTTCTTCTTTGCATTTTCTTTAGGACTTCTTTTGATATTCCATCTGAAAACATTACAAATTAATCCAATAAAACTTGAGGTTTGAGAGTCAGTGCTAGAAATGGTAACAATTTTTAGAGAAAGAGATGCCTGAATTTTTCAATGTTAAGAAAAGAAAAAGAATAAAGAGGAAATTAAATTTTGCCCTTGCCAAAAAAGGTATAGCCTATGGTTAAAAAATTAAGAACACTGAGGCCAGTGATACAGAAAAATGGACTCTAATTCCAGCATGTGGCACAGTGTTGTAACACTGCAACAAAACACCTAGTGGCTAACATTTCTAAAGACTCTTCTATAATTTCCTGAGCAAAATTCTTCACCATTCTATTTCCCAGTGATGTTAAGTAAGGAAAATACAATTATTCTCCATCATTCAACTTCAATAAGCTTTACTGAAAAGCTTTTTGTGTATGTGAGCTTATAACTAAGCTTTTTGTCCTAGTTCAGTACCACAATTGTTCATGCCTCCCAACCAGGGACCTAATATTTCATGGAAAAAGCCCCTTGGAAAAAAGAAGTTTCTGAGGTAGTAATTCACAAAATTTTATAAATAAAAATAGCAAAGCACTGTTGGGAAGTAGTATGGCATAGCGGTTAATAATAGAACAAATGATTCACTCACCCTTTAGCTGCTTTACATTTTCCTTATTTGTCCATCTTCTCCTTGCATCTTCTCTCACTTCACGTCGAGCCACACTGCTCAAATCATGTGCATTAAATTCATGCAACTTGGGCAACAAGTCTCTCACCCATTCATAACGAATCGGACACACAATTCTTGCGTAGACTTTGGTGGTAACTAATACCTCATGAAAAATGATCCATTCAAGTTTGGTTTCCTGTTCATGAAGCTATATAAAAGAATTCATTTAAGGATGATAATTCAATAATCTGCCCTATTCAACATTAGACCAGCCAAATAATAGCCCAAATCTTTCTGAATGAATTCCTATCTTCTTCAAATAGGAATGGGCTAACCAGTACCCACATATATATATATATATATATATATACATATATGTTTCATATATATGTATGTATGTATGTATGTGTATATATATGTAAATTTAACCTTAAAGCAAAAAGAAGACATCCATATATTACTTATTTTTACACCTTTACAAATTTCTTCGCTTTATTAAAAATAAGGTACTTACTGCTGAGGAAGGATGAATGTGAACTGGGCTTCCACGCCCATCCATTGTGCAAAACGTTCTCCCCACAGATCTATAAACAGAAAAACAAAATGCTGAAGACCAGAAGTAAGACAATGAAGTAAGTAGAAAATTAAGTTTAACAATACACAATTACATACATTCTTTGTATATTCTACTACGGAGTATTATAGGCAAAGGTTTAAGTTTATTCAGCTGTCACTATAATCTGTCTACTAATTCATCTTAAATTAATGACATAATTTAAATAGTCACTACAATTAACTATAAGCATTTCTGGTCAGTAAGTAATAATATTAACAATAATGTTGTGTTTGTGCTTTAGAGTTTCCAAAATGCTTTCATAGCAAAGCCTCAAAACAACTGAGGACTTTGAGAGCCAGGACACTTTATTAAAAGAGAGTCAAAACTGAGACTCAAATAAATTAGCTAGCCTTCTCAAGATCACAGAGCTAAGGCACAGTGAAACCAAGTCCTAAACATAGTTCTTCTGACTTAAATATAATTTCCTTATATTATGCTATATCTCTTTTTAAAGGGATAAGTGATTTTTTACTCTTCTAAAATCTGATATAGAAAATTTCACCTATCATTTTTCTAATTCATGCTCTTAATTTCAAATTCTTATGCTCTTCTATACTTCCCTACATAAATGTCATTCCAAAAAACTTGTCAAAATAATAGACCTACTTCAATTGTCACCACAGCTGATTTCCTATAGTACTTTGTAAATATTCTCAGTGTAGCCCAGATTAGACTGCATTCTAATTATTCATTTACATATCTGTGTCCTTCACTAGACTTAAGTATCAACAAGAGTTCAGAACTCACATGTTACTCCACCTTTCTATTTTCAGTACCTGCCCAATGTTTGGCACACAGCAGGTAACCAAGACGTACCATATTTTTAAAATTCTGGAACAATCTAAAGTTATAGAAAAGTTGCAAGCACAGTACAAAAATCATTTTTACCCAAACCATTTGGGAGTAAGCTTCCAATCTGATGCCATATCATTCCCTAAATACTTGAGTGTGCATTTCCTACAATCAAAGATTATAGGAAATTCTACATATTCTATTCTCTTACATAGTCATAATACAATCATCAAAATCAGGAAATTAACACTGATACATTATTAACATGTAATCCTAAGACCAAACTGAAGTTCTACCAAATGTCCTAAGAATATCCTTTATAGGAAAAGGATCCAGTTCAGAATCATGCAGTGGCTTTACTTTTAATGTCCCTTTAGCCTCATTCATTCTAGAATTCTTCCTCAGTCTTTCTTTGACTTTTATAATCTTGATACCTTTAAAGATTATAGGCTAGGCCAGGCTCGGTGGCTAGCACGGCACCGGTAATCCTATCACTCTGGGAGGCCGAGGCAGGCAGATTGCTCAAGGTCAGGAGTTCGAAACCAGCCTGAGCAAGAGCGAGACCCTGTCTCTACTATAAATAGAAAGAAATTAATTGGCCAACTAATATATAGAAAAAAATTAGCCGGGCATGGTGGCGCATGCCTGTAGTCCCAACTACTTGGGAGGCTGAGGCAGTAGGATTGCTTGAGCCCAGGAGTTTGAGGTTGCTGTGAGCTAGGCTGACGCCACAGCATTTACTCTAGCCTGGGCAACAAAGTGGAGACCTTGTCTCAAAAAAAAAAAAAAAAGATTATAGGCTAGTTATTTTGTAATATGTCCCTCAATTTGAGTTTGTCTGTTCCAAGATGGTTAGATTCATGTTATGCATCTTTGCCAGGAATATCCCAGAATGTTATATTTTCCTCATTGTATTTTACCAGGAAGAACATGATTTCAATTTGTTTCATTATTGATGATATTCACTTTGCTTGATTTAGGTATGATCTCCCAGGCTTCTCCACTGTAAAGTTACTTTTTTCCTTTGTGATGAACAAGAGTTTTGTGGAAAGGAGTTTAACTATGTAAATAATTCTATTTCTCATTAAACTTTTAATTTACTCATATGTTAATCTGTACCACTATAGATCTATGATTTCGCCTTTTATTACCTGAGTTACAATCCTTTACTATTATTTATTTTGATGCTTAATTGGGGCCTCTTCATGTTGGCTTCTAGGTACTTCTCACACGGCCTCAACCTTCATCAATCACTTCTTTGCTTGCTGGCAAAATAAGATGTTCACAGTTCATCTTTCACTTTCTAGCCCCATTTCTCCAAAGAGCCTTGATTCTTTTATGTGACAGATGGTTGTTCCAAGTCAAGACCTGGGCACTAAGTATATTCATTGCTATTATGGGGCCTTTTTTTTGAGACAGAGTCTTGCTCTATTGCCCAAGCTAGAGTGCTGTGGCATCAGCTTAGCTCACAGCAACCTCAAACTCCTGGGCTCAAGCAATCCTCTTGCCTCAGCCTTCCCAGTAGCTGGGACGATAGGCACATGCCACCATGCCTGGCTATTCATTGTTATTATGGCGTCACTGCTCCCAGTCTCTCTCAGAGATAGGTTATATATGTATGAATATTACAGACATACAACACATATTACATATATATACCCTAAAATCTATTTTTATTCCCATATATATCATCCATCCATCCCTCTATACTGAAAATTGTAACTTCATAATGATACACTGAAATTTCAATCCAACACCACATTCTCCCTTTCAGTATTTCTAACTTCCCTCACTATTATCATTATTAATATGGTTATGTGATTAATTCTTTTGTATATAATGAATCTTCCATCACCACCACTGTCACTCCTTTCCCTAAAAAGATGCTCTCTTCACTACACTCAGACCGACATCCCACACCAAAAACTCCTCCTCAAATTTCAAGCTCTGTCGCTCCATGGCAAGCTACCCCTTCTCAGGGATGCCATCCTCAACCTGTTTAGCTTTCATACTCCACACAGGGCCACTGCTCCACAAGTAAACCCTTGTCACTTGCCTTAGGAGATGATAACCCACGATCGACAGCCACTCTACATACACTCCCCTCATACCTTGCTTGAGTTCTAATATCCCACTCTGAGCCACTGCAGCTCCTACTACATAAGTGATAATTATGAAAAGGGTCATTGTAATTGATGTCATCGTCATCACACAGCTTAAATCACACCTTCAATCTTTAATAATAAATAGTTCAATACTGTAGTCAAATAGAGTAGTTTTTATTGATCCATCTCTCAAGCTTTTATTGCTTACCTTCGGGCTACATTTTTGAAATAGCCTGCACAAAGACATCTTCGTAGCACTTCATGTTTAGGGCCTTCAAATGTCTCTCTTGGGAAATCACTTTGCTATAGAAAGAATATATATACAGTGGTAAATATCATAGAACAATTTGAAATAATCCTTTATTTTGAAAAATCCACATTTCTAAAGATTTCTGCTTCTGGATAATAAGGAGTAAGAAGAAGGAACAGATTTATCTTTCCACCTGAAACAACCAAAAAGTAAACAAAATATATGAAATAATGACTTCTAAAACACTGTATATCACGAAACAAAGGACAGTGACTCTTGAGAGATAGGAAATAAATGATGTAAACCCAACAACTGCTCCAGCCTGCAGCCCTGAGAAGACTGTGAACCAAGGTACAGAGAAGAAGAACCCAAATGGAACCCAGAGAACTCCCTGGGTTAATGAGACAGAGCAGAGAATCCAGGAAGGCCAAGGTAGCTAGAAATCACAAGACAGAGTTCAAGAAAGAACAGAACTACACACAGATAGAACTCCAGGGAGATGTAAAAGGTCCTCCTCTTATGCTCAGCTGATTACTGATTAACACATAAATGTGAGGAAACTACAACTCCGGGAAAAAAACCTCTCAAAATGGTAAGAAGTAATAGTGTATAGTATTACACAGAGCTAGGAAAGCTGCCTTTCCTCTAAGCCAGACTAGAATATCTTATAACTCACATGATTTTGAGAAGAGTAGTCAGAAGGGTCTTGCCTCAACAGTGGGAATAACTAGCCCTGGACTGAGCACTGCTCTGACCCCACCTACCATACAAAAAAAAAAGCGAACCATTTCAGAGTAACTAGAATATAAAAATATCCAGCACCCCACAAGGTAAAATTCACAATGTTTGGCATTCATTGAAAAATTCTTAGGCATGCAAAAAAGCAGGAAAATACATCCAATAATGAGGATATAGATCAATCAAAATCAATCTAGAACTGGCACAGATGTTAATTACATTTATATTATAATTATATGTTATAACTGGATTACATATGTTCAAAAATTAGAGACCTGAAAAATAAAACAAAAGCTTTTAAAGACTCAAATCCAACATCTAGAGATAAAACTACAACATCTGAGATGAAAAACATAATGGATGAGATTAATGGCACATTAGACATTACAGAAGAAAAGATTAGTGAACTTGAACACAAAGCATATGGAAAATATTCAAAACAAAACAGAGAGACAGAAAGTAGAACAGTGGTTTCCAGGGATTGGAGGGAGAAGCAAATGGGGAGTTAGTACTTGGTGGCTACAGAATTTTAGTATGGGATGATGAAAAACTCTGGAGATGGAGAAGTGGCAAGGGTTGCATAACATGGTGAATGTTTTTAATGTCCTTGACCTGTACACTTAAAAATGGTGAATTGTATGTGAATTATGTTTTACCACCATAAAAAAATATAGAATTGAAAAAATAACAATTATGCTAAGTAAAAGAAGCCAGACTAAAAAAAAAAAAAAAAAGTACATACTATATTATTCCATTTACGTACAATACTAGAAGATGCAAACTTAGGTACAGTAAGTCCTCACTTAATGCCACTGACAGGCTCTTGGAAACTGTGACATTAAGCAAAATGATGTATAACTAAACATTTTTTTGTTTTCTGTTCATCAATTTTATAACAAAACAACATTGAATAAAAACAATGTTATTCTAGGACCCACTGTATGTCATTTCAGTCAAAGTCAATTTATAAGAACCTAATGATGATGTTAAGAGAGGACTTACTGTACAATGACAAGAAGCAGATCAGTGGTTGCCTGGGGAAGCGAGGCAAGAGAGTCTGGGAGGTGAGATGGATGGATTACAAAAGGGCATGAGGAAACTTCAGGAGGTGATGGATATGTTCATTATCTTGACTGTGGTGATGGTTTCATGGGTTTATGCAGATATCAAAACTCATCAAATTGTATACCTTAAGTATGTTCAGTTTATTGCATGTCAATTATATATCAGTAAAGCTATGTTTTTTTTGTGTGGTTTTTTTTGAGACAGAGTCTCACTTTGTTGCCCAGGCTAGAGTGAGTGCTGTGGCGTCAGCTTAGCTCACAGCAACCTCAAACTCCTGGGCTCAAGCAATCCTGCTGCCTCAGCCTCCCGGTAGCTAGGACTACAGACATGCGCCACCATGCCTGGCTAATTTTTGCTATATATATATATTAGTTGGCCAATTAATTTCTTTCTATTTATAGTAGAGACGGGGTCTCGCTCTTGCTCAGGCTGGTTTTGAACTCCTGACCTTGAGCAATCTGCCCACCTCAGCCTCCCAGAGTGCTAAGATTACAGGCGTGAGCCACGGCGCCCAGCTAGTAAAGCTATTTTTAAATATCCTCATTTCTGCAGATAAAATTCTTTTATTACTACTAGGAATCTTTCATGGAGTCAGGAAGATGGCTAGGCCCAGAAGCCAGAAGAAAGGGAAGGTGGTAGAATTGAAAGGGTGGTAAGAAGTAACACACATCAATTAAAATTCAATATGAAATATATAGGTACAAAATGCTCAAGAAAAAACCATTATAGCAATCACCTGTTTAAGTTTCCTGATTAATTCTCGAAGTTGAGCTTCTACACGAAATGCAGAAAATAAGCACCTCCAATGAATCCAGTGTTTTTGGCACCATGAAGCTGGAGCTCCACTGTAAAACAAAAATACTAGTATCTTTAAAAAAAAAAAAAATCTTTTTTTTTTGAGACAGAGTCTCACTCTGTTGCCCAGACTAGAGTGCTGTGGTGTCAGCCTAGCTCACAGCAACCTCAAACTCCTGGGCTCAGGCGATCCTCGTGCCTCAGCCTCCCAAGTAGCTGGGACTACAGGCATGCGCCACCATGCCTGGCTGATTTTTTCTATATATATTAGTTGGCCAATTAATTTATTTCTATTTATAGTAGAGATAGGGGTCTCGCTCTTGCTCAGGCTAGTTTCGAACTCGTGACCTTGAGCAATCTGCCCACCTCGGCCTCCCAGAGTGCTAGGATTATAGGTGTAAGCCACCATGCCCGGCCAAAAAAAATCTTCTTTAAGTAAAAGTCTAACATTATCATTTCTATGACAAAAGTGGAAATATATAAGCAACTGTCAACTCTTTCATGAAGTCTGTCCAAATACTGAAAACTATTTTAGGAAATTTGGAAAATGATTAATTTAATGTAGATGGCCTTGACTGAATTAAAAAATAATTTGTAAATGGATTTATTTACACACACACACACACACACACACACACACATTAATCTAATCAGGTTCTCATCTAAGCTACTTATATAGAAGCAAAATTCTATAAGGTCATTTTCAGGAGAGGTTTGGGGAGAGAAGAAAGAAGAGAACCAATATTACATAATAAATGCTTACAAAGTAATAATTACTTGATAAAGATAATCTCACTAATATTCAAAATACCTTGAGGTCAACATCATCCCCACTGAAACTTAGCACCTAAAGTCACATAGTAAGTACATATTAAAGCTATTTATCAAATCAATATTTTCTAGTACAAAGGACTAGCTCACATACCTTGATTTGCATTGTTCAAAGATGACAGCTAAAGTTGCAAAGTCATTAAATCCTCCAGCTTTAGCTGCCAATTCTCGATGTCTCTGTTCTGCTTCCTTCTGGTACTCTGGATCAACTAAAAGGTGAATCAGAGAGGCAATTTAGTTCTGCTTTACATTAAGTACCTATATTCACTTGGTTTTTGCAAGTACATTTAAATCTGCCTCACCCTCTGGGGTGAAATTAGGTAGAACTATATTAACTCTTTCTAGGGGCCTCTAATTTCTCCCACAACTCATTTTCTTCCTTTAACCACTCTTTGGAGATTTTACCAAAATAGCAAAATTATATCTCCCAAACCATTTGCCTTTAAAGTAGTATTTGGAATTTACCTTTTAAATTAGTTTTAATCATAACAGCAACCCATGCTCATAGTAAAAAATATTTAATGGTATAAAAAATATAATTTAAAAGTGTAACATTCTGCAGTTTGTCACATTATCTATAAACCAGTCCTCAAGGCCAACCACTATTAATTTCTTGGTATGTGTCCTTCCAGATATTTTCTATATGTATGCAAGCATAAGTACATAGTGTTTCATTTTTCTATAAATGGGATATATGTTCTGAAATTTCCTCTATTCATTTAATAACAGATTCATGGAAGTACATGTAGAATTATTCATTCTCAAAAATAGTCATATAGTATTTACTCCTCAGAGGTATAGGGAACATAATGCAATTTAACCAGTCCTTATTTATCCAATTCCCTATCATGGGCAATTAGACATGACCTCCATAGATGTGGAACTAACATACTACAAATATTTTCTCTTCTCTTTTAACTTTATATTGAAGTATAACATGTACACAGAAAACTACAAAGGCCATAAGTATATAGCTCAATCAATGCCCACAAACATAACACACCAGTGTACCCAACACGCAGTCAACAAACAGAATACTCCCAGAATCCTAGAAGCTCCTTTTATGCTTTCCTTCTAATAACTACCCATTCCTCTGCATAAAGGTGACCATACCCTGACTTCTAACCCTACAGATGGGTTTTGCCTGTTTTTCACCTTTGTATGAGTGGAATGACACAGTATGTACTTGATGTGTCTGGTTTCTTTTGCTCAACATTATGTTTTTGAGATTTATCTGTTAGTGACTTTGATGCTACTTCCCCTTATCCAACTCAGGCCTGATACGCTGCTCTCTGATTGCCCTAGTCCCCATATAGCATTTTATCCAGGCTACTCTTTCAGGGTCCCATTTTTTCAAAACTGCATAAAGATCTTTCCTTCATCCTAACACGTCACACTACAATTCCTATTCCTTTAGCATAATTATCACACCTAGAATTTAGCAGAGGCACAATGTTGACTGATTCCAGGGAGCAGCACTTATATAGATCACAATGTGAATGTGCAAAGCAGCAGTTCCTGGTATTAGAAGGAAAGCAATCTGATTAAAGAAAACATCCATGAAGGTATAAAATCTTCCATCCTAGCTTTTAAGTAGCTTCCAACTGTGTTACCTAGGTAGCAACTGAAGGAAGCAGCTAGCGACAAATAAAAGAGAATATGATTTATCTCAGACCATACAAATGGCCCTGCTAAAGTGAATATATAAATGATTATTAATGCTCATCTCTTAATCCATTCAGAGATACTAATTTTTAACCCAAAACATCTCATTTCAAGCACCTAGCTACCATACCCCAAAAGGTTTTTTGCCTAAAGTTAAATTGCATTAGATTCCAGCATCAACCCCATCCTGGGCTCTCAACATTAGGAGACAAGTCTACCTATAAGTCAAGGGGTCCTGAAATTTCTGAATCATGGTGTTTCCTGCTATAGCTATGTAAATCCCCAGCTGCCTGGGTCCCTTGGGTTATGAAGCCTTGAAGTTTCTAGCTACAGTCTAGTTCTTTTCTTCCCTGCCTCCAGCTGACCCTAGAAACCTTCAATTTGGCTGTAACAGCTCCAATAGGAATTTACACAGATGATTCACCATCTCTTAAGATGTCAGAATAATTTTGTAATAAAATTTAGTGGATTAAAATTTTTAACTCAGCTCATATTTTGGGAAGATTAATCCTGCAGAGCTTCATTTCTAAAGGACAGCATTAAAGAAAAAAATAAAGTTAAAAAAATAACTGCATGGTCAGTGTTGGATCTCTTGTTTAAAGTAGCTATTTGCTCAAACTTCAAAAAAATTTAGAAAGTATATTGCTTCTCTGACTCTCCTTCCCACATTGCTACCTTGTCTCTGTTTCTCTCACTGTTTCTCAGTTTCTCTGCCTATCCCCACCATTACTCTCAAAGTTAAAAGAAAAGATAGAGTATATTCTTGTCCCTCTTCTTTACCTCTTTCCTCAAAAATAACCTAATTAGGCCAGGCGAGGTGGCTCACACCTATAATCCTAGCACCCTGGGAGGCCCAGGCGGGTGGATTGCTCAAAGTCAGGAGTTCAAAACCAGCCTGAGCAAGAGCGAGACCCCGTCTCTACTAAAAATAGAAGGAAATTAATTGCCCAACTAAAAAAAATATATATATATATAGAAAAAATTAGCCAGGCATGGTGATGCATGCCTGTAGTCCCAGCTACTCAGGAGGCTGAGGCAGGAGGATCGCCTGAGGCCAGGAGTTTGAGGTTGCTGTGAGCGAGTCTGAACCCACGGCACTCTAGCCCAGGCAACACAGTGAGACTCTGTCTCAAAAAATAATAATAATAATAATAATAATAATAATAAAAATAATCTAATTAATGAAAATTAAAACTGGCAAAAGTCCCATAGCAAATTTAGGGAAGGGATAGGAAAACCTGAACTCATCTACACACAGTTGTTATAATCTCGGCAAGTTTATCCTCTAAGTCATAGCTTAATTAGCCATCTTTAATTATTTTCTCAGTAGACTTGTCATTTTCTTTAGTTTATTAACTTTCCCCAGATGAGATTCCATTATCAGTTTTACCTCAGGCAAATAGGTAGATGCCAATGAGGCAAAGACTATAAATAATAAGCCGAAGCAGCAAAACAAAGCTGTATCAGCTGAACTTCTCCCTTTGGGAAGATAATTCAATACTTTTGTATACAACAATCAATCAGAAAATAAAACTATTACATAGAAAAGTTTTCAATAATAATAGTCCTCAGAGTTGAAGTAGGGGAATAAAGTTATTAAGTGCCATATACACATAATGTATCCTTTGTTTCTAAAAATATTACATTGAATACATTTAAAATAAACAATTTAGAACCAACCCAACGTTATTTTAAATTTGTTCCATTTTAAGGCACTTAAATATTTAACAGCCCTCACTCCACTGTCTGACTTCTAAAGCAATAATTACATGAGCAGACATTGTATACAGAGTTCACTGCAGCCAAAGAGAGAAATTACTATATATGTTGAAAGAATCATCATTTTGATATTTACAACCTTAATTCAATGTTCAGATCTGAGAATACTAGTCAGTTGTACAACGATAAGTATATAATAAACTAAACTAGGTGATCTACAAGGACTGAAACTCAAGCCAGAAAAGACTGCTTAACTATAAAGACTATAAATGCACTCAGAAGCAGGTGGAAAGCCAATGTACCTTGTGAGTGTTACAAGATCACAGCAAGTCATATGCTCAAAAACTGAAGCTGCATCTTGTAGCAGCTGAAGTTCTTAATGACCCAGGTTTAAAAACCTACATCATTTAAACATATAGCAAGAATATCTCTTTAAGGATAAATAAGAAGATAGTAGCAATTTTTGACTCCAGGAATCAAACCTCAGGACTTGTTTTGGAGGGAAACTTAATTTTCACTTAAATTCTTTTGTAGTGCTTGAATCTTTAACTATACATACATATAGTTGACTCTAGAACAATGTGGAGGTTAGGGGTGTCGACCCCCACCATGCAGTCAAAAATCCACATATAATTTGACTTTCCAAAAAACTTAATTACTAATAGCCTACTATTGACCAGCAGCTTTACCAATAACATAAACAGTTGACTAACACATATTTTGTATGTTATATGTATTATATACTGTATTCTTAAAGCCAAAGAAAAAGTGTTATTAAGAAAGTAATAAGGAATAGAAAATACATTTACAGTACAGTAGTATATTTATCAATACCATTAAGTTTACATCATCTATTTATAACATAAATTGCCTGTCTAAAATAGTGGGCAGCTGTACTTCTCAATCTACTGTACACATCAAGCAATTCAACTTTTTCTTGTAATGTCATGACTTTGCTTCTTGGGAACACTTACAGCATTACTAGTGGCATTTTGAATGGGTCTCTCTCATGGTATTAGTCAAGGTTTACAGTATTGCACTAAACATGAAAAATATGTAACAATCACGAGAGATCACTTTTTACTGTGATATGCAATTTACTGGAGAGATGAAATGCTCACATGGAAATAATCAGTGTCACATGACATTTTAAGCAGATACAACACCTGAGCTCACCGCAATAGCAACAGGAGGTGGCTATGGAATTATTACAGTAGTACAGTATGCATAGTAATATATTATTGTATTACTGTACTAATAAATTAATTTTATACAGTTATGATATAAACTATATCTTTACATTTGTTAGCATTACTCTTGACTACAAATGGCACCATACATGGTCTATAAATGTTTACGTATGTTTTTGATAAATTTTAACCTTTTATAATAGATTTGTGTATATTCTATTGTAGTAAATGATAAAAACAGACTGGTATCTATATATATTTTATGCATCTATGACATACCTAAGTTTTTCTTAATTTTTTTTACATTTCTAGGCTATGTGGTTCATCTGTGATTTTTTTCCAAATTGTCACAAAACTCAATTTTTCCAATATACTTATTAAAAAAGATACACGTATAAGCAAACCCACACAGTTCAAACCTGTGTTGTTCAGGGTCAACTGTATTGAGCATGGTGGTAAGAAGTTAGATGAGGACTCTCTCCCAGAGAGACATCTATTAAACTAGTCAAAATTACCAGAGACAATTATTCAAAGGCTCTAGAGATTGATGGAAGGGTTTACCACAAATCTAACCTATGAAATTCAGTAACAACAGTAGGAAGGATGGCCCACTCCCCACAGCTTTGCATGTATGG